AAAACGCCCATACCTCAATTTGCGACGTTGCAACTTTTCCACTGTCAATTTTGAACGAGTAAAAGAACATGAACACTTTAAAATCTGCCGTGATTTTTCCGAGATGTGGCAAAACACATTATTTGAATGTGCTGCTAGCGAGCTGATAATAACAGTAATTGTCATTTAGTATACGTTTCGGTGTCTTATAACCTCTTCAGGCCCATTTACGTGCAGGTTTATAACATTTCGGGTCTGTTTTTGTTTGTTCGAGGGTTCCTATACCCCGACTTCTTTTTCCCCTGTTTAATTAAAGCATAGACTTTTAGTCCAGGCGCCTGGTAGCTAAAAATGAGGCTACCTGGAATTTCGGGTACACAGCGATTTTTTTGGCTTACTTTATGTTTTTTGGGTCGCTGAATCCGAATCTGAAGTTTCCTACCGCGTAACTGGTGAGCATTTTCCGCCATTTTGAAAATGGCCTAAAAAGGCCTTTTTTTGCGGTTTTTTTGATATAGCGGCTACGCATGAGAGAAAGCCCCGAATTTAGTTTATGTTTTGAATAGCTGACATAATATGGAAGAAAATGGTGTATACATATGCTACATTTGCTTAAAAGTTGAGGAAGATACAGCATAGTGAACATCGCGCCCATTCAAGTTTTCGCGGCGCACCCGTCAACGCGCTATCCGGCTCGCCGCGGTCAGCCAAGTTCCGAAGCGTTCCAAAGTTCCGAGATCCGATGTTCTTCAATTTTTGAGCGATCCTAGCATATTTATATACCATTTTCTTCCAAATTTTGTCAGCTATTCAAAGCATTAACTATATCCGGGACTTTTTCTCATGCGTAGCCGCTATATCAAAAAAACCGCAAAAAAAGGCCTTTATAGGCCATTTTTACAAAATGGCGGAAAATGCTCACCAGATACACGGTAGGAAACTTCAGATTTGGATTCAGCGACCCAAAATATATAAGGTAAGCCAAAAAAATCGCTGTGTACCCAAAATTCCAGGTAGACTTACCAGGCGCCTGGACTATTAAGCTTCCATCGCCTTGCTAAGGCGCAGGGATACAGCTATTTGAACTCCCCGGAACGCGTGAGGTATCACGCCTCAATTGAAGGCGTTTTCGAATCTTATTTTTTTATATGACGAGTCTTCCAAATTGTTTTGCATTATATTGTAGATTTGAGTTCCTTTTATTATTCAGTTGGATTACTCCTGCTCCTTAATTTTTAATTATTCTGCAAACACTATCCATTTGCGAAATGAATAAAAAATACTAGTTGGCAAGGCTTTTTACTCCTTAAATGATTTTTTTAAATAATATTTAACTGTAATTTACTATACCTTTTATTTTATTTTGTAAAATTTTGTAATATTCTTAATGCTTCCCTGTGTTCTTACGTACCTATTTTATATTAATGTGTAATATTTAGGGGGGGGGGGTTGACAAGTATTATAGCCTCAACGTGTGGCATTTATGTACATGAATTATAAATAAAATAAAATAAATAAATAAATAAATAAAATAAATAAATACAACCCCGGCTTTAGCGCCCTTAAACTCCAGCCTTAACGGTCGAAGCTGCAGTAGCGGCACAGGAAAACCGAAAAACAACGCGGGGACGCTACTATAATATTAAACTTCCAACGCCTTGCTAAGACGCAGGGATACAACTATTTGAACACTCCGGAACGTGTGAGGTATCACGCTTCAATTGAAGGCGTTTGCGAATCTTCTGTATTTACATGACGAGATTTTCCAAATTGTTTTGCATTATACTGTAGATTCGAGTTCCGTTTATTTTTTAGTTAAATTATTCCTGCTTCTTAATTTTTAATTATTCTGCAAAAATTATCTGATTGCGAAATACAATCCTGGATTTAGCGTCCTTAAACTACGGCCTTAACGGTCAAAACTGCAGTAGCGGCACACAGGGGCGGACTGGTATTCGAAAAGTTAGGCGGGGACCTAAATGTAAGGGCCCCTCCTGTCGTTCGGGGGCCCCTCCTGTCGTTCGGGGGCCCCTTTAAGAAGGTCCGGGGGCTCTCCCCCGATAAATTTTGAAAATTTCACTCTTTTTCAACACGTAGGCATTATTGGAGTTGGACTCTACAGTACTTGAACTTCAAAATAACCCTTCTTAGAATTCATCGGGGGTCCCTTCATCACGAATGCTTTTGGCGACCTTCCATATGTCTCTTAGAGACAAATTTTCAAGGAATTCGGGGCCTTTAAAAGATTGAAAAGGATAAGAAAATCACAACATTACGGGAAAAAACGATGACTCGAAAAAAATTCGCCGCGGGGGCCCCTTCGGGACCTCCGCTGCAAATTGTTAGGGGGCGATCGCCTTCCCGCCCCCATGGCCAGTCCCTGAAATTGAGTTGAAGAAAAATTTGATATTGTCTAGATATACATACTTACTCCCGTCAAAAATATTTAGAAAACAAAAAGTGATTTGAGGGGCTTGGAGGACAAAAGCGAATAAGTAGTGCAGTTTTTGCCATTTCGAGAAATATGTGTTTGAAGTTTCGAAAATACGTGGATCCTTATGGCGGAAAGAAAGTTCAAACTGACCTTTTGATGCTTAAAAATTGGTATTTGGGGCCGATTTTTCACAGAATACTTACGCATTATGGCTAGTTTTACCTTTGATCATTAATATCTCAATTTTTTCAAAAACCGCACTTCTGCGCCTTGTCCTTCAAGCCACTCATTTGAAGTTTGTGCTACGTTAGGCCTTAAAAAGAGAGCAATTCAAACCCATTTCCAGCTTCATATCAATTCGTTTCCATCAGATGGACCTACACTGCTCATAGTTGTTGTGTGCATTGTTCATTAGATGATTTGTTTTCTTCCAGAGGTACTTTTATGCCAAAGAGCTGAGGGGATAAAATTTCTGAATGATTTCCAAAAAGAGACATGGATTAAATTATAATATTCTACATTCGGTGATCCGCCAGCTGAAGGAATTTTCCAATAAAAGGGTATTTTGATATGATCATAATTGACTAATAATTTAATAGTTATGATTAGGTAATTGGATAATTTTGATTGGAGTTCGGTTAAGTTTTAAAAGTTCTATAGTGAGGATTTTTAAGATTCTTTAAAGGTGTAAAAAAATTGTTAGGGCAGCAATCCAGTAATTTCTTGATGGACTTTCAAAGTCCTCATGTAACTGAAACCTTAGAATTTAGAAAGCTCTCCAACACAGACAAGATGATATTGTTACCTCCTGGCCGAAGTATCACAAGCGCCATGTATGCTTATAAGCTATGTTGCCGAACATCTCAATACTATGTTAATTTTTTCTTTAAGACTTAGGTACATACTTTCATGAAAACTTGAGAGACTAATCTTCATGAGTAAAGAAATATTAGGCATGTAGAATTTTTAAGTGACTCTTTGCATTAGTTATTCCGTCAAATATTGGACAATAAGTTTAGCAACATTACCTCTAAGCACTGATGGCACTTGAGGTCCTTTAGCCTAAAGGTGACGATATTTCTGTTTGATACATGTTTTTGAAAGTATTTTGCCTTCTATCTCTACAAAACTAATTGTTAGTATCTGCAGTCAAAAGTCAGAGGAATAATGACTATGTGTCACCCCTTGAAATTGCCTTACGACCCATTTGCTCTGAAAAGTACTTCACGTTTCTTTAAGTTTTGCAATTCATGTCCAGCATTTGTAGATCATAACGACCAAATTTTAAGTTCAAATCCTATCCCTACTGAGCGCGTGACGAATGCGAATAACTCAATTTCTCGAGAAAATTTGGTTGCATTTCTGTAGCTTCCAATCTTAAAAATATAATTAAAAACATTGACAACTCTATAAATATGAATTCTCCAGAGCAATGTAAATCACTTTACGCTCTTAAATAAGAAAACGTGATGATCACATTTTTCAAAACTGAGTTATCACTCATGCATACAAGTTTTAAATTTGTGGATGCTATTTTTTTCCTTTCTCCTATATCAGCAATAATTTCCTGTTAATTCAACATATTGGGTTTAAAGGAAGGCACCATTTTGGGTCCATGTGTTTTTCATTTGAAAATCTGAGCTCACATATTAGCTGAGTTTGCTAACCACGGAGTTACAGATGTGCTGAAATGAGAATAAAACATTCCCCCTAATGGCCATTGAAAGATTTGATTCTGGCTTTCTTTATCAAGTTGTATATTTACTGCACATACCTGTAGTTTTTCATACACCCTATATTAAAATAGAAATTAATCTTTAAAAATGTGAAGCGGTAAGAAACTATATTTATGTGGATAGCCATTAAAGATAATTTTCCTGCGACAAATTCTTTGATTGACTTGTAAAAGAATTAAATACCTAATCCATTTTTCTCAAGGGGTACTTATTTTGCTAGTCCTGTAAGGATTCTAAATTTTAAAAAAAAGAAAAAAAAAGAGCGCGAGCAATCCTCAAAGGATTTTGAACTGCTGAAACTTGTGTAAGCGCAGTTTGTTGATTTTCATTTTTTCAACAAATGATTTTCAGTTAGACGAACTTAAATCAAATGAACTATCCACATTGTGACAAAGACCTTGAGACCCTTTAAAATGCGTACATGACAGGGTCTATATCATAATGCTACTGTGGTGAGGAAGAGCCCTGTGTGAACCTGTAGACGTTCCAAAATTTATTTTGATAAACTCAGGATTTTGGGAAAAAATTGTGCTTACTTTTTTACCAATTTTTCAGAGAATCTTCCTCACAATTTAATCTGAAGTACCTGAAAATTTCAGGGTGAAATATACTTCTCTTAAAACTAGACATTTTATTGGGAGCCATCTGGCAACAACTGATTCACGCAGTGTTTCTCCTCCGGGAAGCAGAATGGAGATACTTTCTTTTGATTTGAAAACTTGAATTATAAATTAAGAGAGTGATGGACAAAAATAGAATAAAAAACGTCATGATCATTGACCATAAAATCAGATCGAGGGAAAATGAGTGCAATTGCACGTGACGTTCAGATTAAATAAAAACTAATTTTGTGAAAAATGATATTATACAAAGCTTTATTTTATAACCACTGAAACAAAGAGTATTGCAAATAAATGAAACCGTCTTATAATTTATTGTTTAGAATGTTCATTGAAAAAATATTATAAACCATTCTTTTGAATTCTTTTTTCAGCCTATTCGGAAATCGAGAGAATTATTAGTCAAACTGATAGATAATACAAACATCAATTGGAGCGGGGCGGGTAACTTAGTATAACCTACAGCCAATGGAAAATGAATGAACTAAGAAACTGAAAAATTCAAGGCAAAGCTAATTTAACGAGAAAAAAATAGGGATAAAAATTGAGAAACCAAGAGTCAGAGATGTTAATTTTGAGACAGTGTTTGTCAAAAGGAAACAGCAGTTGTTGTTACTGTTTTGAAAATGCACTTTAGATTTTTCATAAATTCTACTTTAAATGCAACGAGATGGGGAAAAATTAAAAACAAATAAAAAATATAAAAGAAAGCAAGAAAATCATAAAAGTAATGATTAGAAATCATTCAAAAAGAGGAGTCGCTGTTACTTCTGACAGATGAGTTTTTAGAAAAATAATCCGAAGAAGAATTATGTTTATTAATCATTGTGAATGAGGAGAGTATAAGATACTCAAAAGGGTTAAGCTCCGGAAGAATTGGGTGATTGATGAGATCTAGTATAAAAACTACATGAATTTGATACAATATCTGTACAAAAAATAATGTCTACTATTAATAAAAAGTTCATGTTTATATTATCCGTTTTGTTTCAAATTTCTATCTGCTTCATTTGTTCTATAATATACAAACAAAAGCTTAGTATAAAAAATACTACAGTACACATAAATAGATGTATGTTGCATTTAAGTTTGCAAGAGCACATAAACTATTTACATCATTACACTGAGGGGAGGAGGGAAAGATAAAAATAAACAATTACATTCAAGAAAATTTACATTATAATTTTAAGGAATGAAGATAAATGTACAATTCATCACTTGATAAGACTAATTTCATTTTTGTTTTCTCTCTCGCTGGCCTCTTTATTGTCGCTTTTCAAAACATTTTGATTTTTGCTCTTCATCGTCAGCGATTCTCTCCTATTCTCTGTGGGCAAATCTTTCATTCCCTGCTTTGCATGGCATTTGATGGAAAAAGCTCTAAATCTTTCGGCTAGTTAAAAATTCTCACACTATGATTTCTATGTAGACCAGCTTTTATTTTTTCTAAGATTCTAAAATTTTGCCCTATTATAACTCAAAAGAACAAAATGCTTCATTATCAAATCATAAGTGCCTCACATTCAATGCAGACACTTCTTGTGAGATAATTTTTTCTCCTGATGAATACAACTGACAAGCTACTAAGGAGTGTGACATAGCTTTGAGCTGAAACTACTTTAAGGCTTGTTTTCACTTTTGATACAGCATATTTGGGTGGAGCGATGGTCTTTAAGATGTAACTACAGAGAGAAAATTTCAATATTGAAGATAACTCTAAAATTTAATTTCCAGGACATAGACAGGAACTCAAGATTAAATAAAAAAGGAGGTGAAAAAGAGTTACTCTCTAAAGAAGAAAGAGCTGCCATTTATGAGAAAAGAATACTTTCAGGAACAGGGCATCTACATTGCAAGCAATTTTTGAACGACTGTAAGCATTTCTGAAATTAAAGCTATTTGTAAAAGCATACCTATTCGGCCAATTAGAGTGAGAAAATACGGAGAGGGGAACACGAAAATTCAAGAGGGTTTCACGTACAAAATCTTTATTGAACACAACTTTTTCAAAATTATCCAAAATTACAATGTCTACTAATATAATACATGATTTAAGTAAACCTAGGTGAGTTACAAGTTATTTACACTACATGTTTCGATTCAATTATCACTGCGACATGAAGCTCAATCAATATCGTTAAGAAAATAGCAGAAGCTTCCAGTTTTATCTTTGCTCCTTTTCTGGATTAGGTTGCACACCAAAGAAACTAACTTTCTTTTTTCTCCCCTCTCATCAAGTTTTAAAATATTCAACTATGCAGAAATACTTTCCACAATAAGGCTATACTTCCTATGCTTTTGAGATGGAGCGGTAGTTAAAAATTCAGAAATTGACCCGATGAAGTTTATGATAGTTGTTGAAAGGTCCTTAAAAAAGACAACATTTTTTATGGGACTGAGAGAGCTTCCTAATTTTGGAATCATAACACCATAATCAAAGAATTTTCCTCTTTGATTATTTAAGCTACTTCGGGTATGTGTATTTACATCAATTTAAATAGATACACTATGTTAAATAAAAACATCAATAGTTCATAGTTGTGAGGGCGGATAGATTTGGAGCTAACCTATCATTGGCAACAAAAACCAGTGTATTTGCATCAGGGTAAAAATCTGATTGTAAATTCTAAGATTTAACATTGTTTTCATGGTGGCTACTGCTCAAAGGGAAAACATGCACAATAAATGTATACACTTATTTATCTTTTTCTTTAAAAAAAGGAAGAAAGGGGTATCAGTCGATAAAATCCTACCCAAGCGTAGGATACATATAATACCAGTGATCATCCAAGTGTTGAGAGGAAAAAAATGTGTTCATTCGTGGTACGAAACAACGTACAATAGAGATCTCTTTTGAAGAGTTTGTTAGATCCGTTTTTCTCACATATAATGCTAATTTCAGGCAAAAAAAGAACTGAGCGAAATCTGCTTCACAGAGGTAGAAGACCCGTATGACTAGTTTTACACTGAAGGAGCGTGAAAGACCAGGATAAAAAGTCTGATATATTTTAGGCACAATCTAAATAAGTTCTTCGATAAAAAAAAAGAGAAGCAGAAAATTACGGATCCTCAATTGTAAAAGTTTAAGTCAAGTTTGATTAAAATTAAGATTGCAAAATTAAACAGCCATGAGTCAGTCCAGAGAGACGGTCAACATTTCCTGTTTCATATCACTTCACTTAGCAGGGTAATTGTTTCCTACTGTGGAGGCCACTGCAGCCGCTTGCTGACTTGCGAGCACCGCAGCTGCAAGCAAACAAAGAACTCATTACAAATTTGGCAAAATTTCGTGTTTTATTGTGTAAAACAGAAAATCAGCGGTTTGAGACTCATCATGTTACAGATGTAAACTTCTCCAAAAACCAAGAAATGATGAATCTGAGTTCGGGAGGATTGGAGGTCATACATACTGCCAAATTGCCAGAAAATAAACTAATTATTGACATCCAAATTACCAGAAAATAAACTAATTATTGACATCCAAATTGCCAGAAAATAAACTAATTATTGACATTCATCGACCTTCTTGTACCAACACTGCTAAAAAACCCTTGGTAGCCTACAGTTTTACTTGACCCTCTAAAAATTCTAACTAACTTTAAAATACCCAATCTGCTAAACCTTTTTGTCATTTAGATTATACAAAATTCCTTTTTCTTGATATCCTGGTACATGACAGTTTCAATTTGAAGGCACTTTTTTATCATTCAAAACTCAAAAGGTATGCTTGTCATGTGATTTTGAAAAGAGTTTTTTAAATGGAGCTGGATATTGTTTAAATATTTTTCTGTTGTTTTTTTTAAAAGGGGAGAAAAATTTGAGGTCCCAATAAGTGTTCTCAAAATTGACAATCGCTCTATGAGGGCAAAAAAATTGAAGTCATCTGGAATCTGACCCTAGACGATTGATGGCTTCAAAATTTGCATTTCTAGGATAGATGTTAGAAGTGAAAGCGGTAACTGAATTTTGGATCCAACTAGCAAAATGCTGATAATATTTTGAGTGAGAACTTTGCCTTCAATTCATGCAAAAAAAAAAAAATAAAGAAAGAAAAGAAACCCTTACACAAAATTAAACTACATGGTTAGTGCATCTATTATCAAGCAAGAATCCATTTCAGTTTGCTCCTTATAGGTTGCGACCACGGAATCGTTGGTCGCTATCTTATAATGTTTTCAGATTGACTTGAACTCATCAAAATAAACTTTTTTATTTGACAAGGAGAGATGGACAATTTAGAGACATGATTAAAAATTAGTCTCATCTTTCAAGCAAAAATATAAAAAGAAAATGCATTTTTAAAAAAAAACTTTATACAAGCCTAACCTAAATAAAATTCTCAATTCCTTTCCTGTAGACGAATGCCTATACATTGACAGCCTTACGAAATAAAATAACCTATTTTACTTACATTCTTACAAGATTCAACATAGCACCAATATGGTGTACAAATTCAAATATTTCTGCTGGACCGAAACAGAATAGAAGACTAGGCAAAGAGCTTAGAACGATATTTTTATAGAGGTATTGACAATAAATTAACTCTACATAGGTAGTTCATTTACAGAGAATCCTACACTTAATAGCTCACAACAAAAACATATTTCTCTCTTGGAAAGTTAATGTATGTCCTGTTATCTTTAAAGATGCGTAAAATTTAAAAGTTGTTACGTCTGTCTAACAGATACTACCTGTTTAATTGTCCAAGGAAACAAGATAAGTATTTTTCAGAAAATAAATTTAGATCTTATCTTATCTATGGTGCTATTGGTCACTATGAGTGATTTTGGCCATTGCTTTCAAGCACTTCAGGGAGAGATTTCTACAAATCCCTCAATTTTTTTGGAACAGCACTTGAATACGATAGGGCATCTTAGAATTGATTTGAGTGAGCTTGCTTTAAATTACAGTGAATCTAAAATTACTTAGAGATGGCTTAAAGAATAACACCTTTTGAAATCGCTCATTTCTCAGCATAAAAAGATTAATCAAATTCCATGATAGCCTAAATACATTCTTTGAGTTTTCCATGGTCACAACTCACTCAAAAGGTATATGATAAGCCTACTTCCTCACTAAGAATCTTGCAAAAACACTATCACTTGCAAGGGATCAATGAATTTATGAGTCGGAGCTAAATTCACAATGACACAGAGATGCTGCCAACTGAATTAGGTGAGACACTTTCAAGAGCCTACAATGGCTTACCTCCATAAGGTGCGGGGTAGTGACCAGCTACAATAGGGTACCCGAGTCCAACTCCAACATGCGTATGATGGTGCGTGTGAACATGCCTTTGCGGAGGGGGCGAACGTGAGTCTTTATCTGTGGGTGTTTTATTAGGCGGAGGAGGTCCACCGGGAGGCTGAGGTGTGATCGATCCAGGCGACTGTTGTTGCTGCACCTGTTGTTGCTGCTGCTGCGACTGAGTTTGTTGCTGAGGAAGATTCGGAGCTCCACCACCCGACGGTGAGATCCCCGGAGTCACAGATTTTGGCGTCGGTGACTTCATCGCTCGCTCTTGAAGCTCATGGATTTTATGCGAGGAATAGTACTGATTAGCATGGTGCTGCAAGAGGTCCAGAGCTTTCGGGCCTGATGGTGATCGCGAGAGGTCCTCAGGAGCATGGTACCTTGGAATCTGAGGGTGCAGCTGGGGGTGTAAGTAAGGATTATTGCCGTATGGACCAGGAACTAGCATGGGGTTCATGTTGCGGTACATCGAATGACTGGGATCGAACGGGATGGCACCATAGTGTGGAGACTGCATGTAACTACTTGGGTGGATATAAGCGTAAGAGGAAGTAGGGGGAGGGGGAGGACCTTGCGTCTCCATGGTTGGTTTCACGCCCTCCTGTTTGATTTTCTCAGTATCCTTTGAGTTTTTCTCACTTTCAGGGTATTTATCTTTCATTTTCAAAGGCATTTGTGGTGGTTGTTTGGTTGCAACTGGCGGGGGTGTTGCTTTCATTGGGGCCTCCGAGGAAGAGTCCTTCCTTGGCCTTTGATCACCTGAGAATAAATAGTATCGTCGCAGGTCCTCTTGCTGCTGTTGTTGCTGTTGCACCACCTGCTGGGGTTGCGGCTGAGCTTGAGGCTGACCGGGCTGATTTGACTGTTGCCTTGGGTAGATGAAAGCTGGTGGCATTTGGTTCTTGATCTCTATGCTCTCTTTCAGAATCTGGTGGTTTTCGTTTTGCTGCGTCGGAGGCTTCTCTGGAAGCTTACCTGATTCCGTTTTGATTTTTGGAGGCAAGGATGTTATATGCGCTGGAGGTGCTTGTTTAAGGTTCTGTTCGGCTGGACTTGGGCTTTTCAAAAGGTTATCTTCTTTACAGTCCTTTTCCCCAGCTACCATTCCCACAGGATAACTACCCATGTTACCATACTGATATCCGGGAACGTAGCCATAAGGATAGAAATGAGGCTCGAGTAACTTGGGAGGGTACTCCGTGCCGACATTTGTTTCTTTCTTTTCTTTGTCTAGATTACTGACAGGTTTAGTTTCTGGTATTGTTTTCTCTAACTCTTTACTTTTGTTATCTGTCTGTACTGAAGGCACCAAATAAGGAGGATTTCCATAGTATGGGAAAACGTAGTGTTGCAATGAATGAGGGGACTGAGCCGTCCCGCTTTCAGACTTTTTCTCACAGTTTATAACTTTAGATTTGTTGTCCGTTTCTGCTTCCAACACCGGCGCTGTGTCATCTGAGATATCTGAATAAGCTGGACTTTGAACATCTTCCCTACCACTCGACTGTTCCATAAAATTAGGCTCCATTACATTCAAGTGAGGACTACTCGTTGGTGACTTTTTACTTTTCTTCTTCTGCTGCTGCAATATTTTAACATTATTCCTATCTTTCTTGTCTGCCTCGGGCATCAAAGCAGAGGTTGGTTTCACCTTGAATTGTGGAACTTTGTTAACAGGTGACACCGGCCTTTGGTTTGGCGATGGAACCGAAAGGACGGTAGCAGTCTTTGCTGACTCATCGGTGAGACCGAACCTTAAGACTCCAGCAGATTGTTTTATGAGAGTCGGATCGCTTGTCATTTCAGCGTCCGAGGGCAATATCCTCTCGGGTGGGACAACTTTCTCTGGTTGCGGGGGGACTATCTGAGCCGGGCCCGTAGGTGGCGCGGGGACAGGGACCGCTGAAACCATTGGTTCGGGAGCAGCAGTCGCTGGCGCAACGGGCGTCGCAACCGGCGGCGGAGGATCAACCATCATGGGTTCATCCTTCTTCGTACTACTATTCGAAATATCACACTTGTTTGGAACTAAAGATTCCGGCGGACTAGGCACCTCTTCATTCTCCGACAAACTCGTCATTTCCTTGTCTTCGTTCTCGTCGGTCGACCCACCGTGGGCATGCGACTGGTGGTACTTCAAACCGTTTATATTTTTGTACTTTTTCGAGCAGTTCGGTTCGGGACATTCCAGGAGCACTGGTGAGGTAGGCGGTGGACTTCCGCTCCCGTTGCTCGTTACAGGGGTGGCAGGGGAGGGAGGGGGAGGGAGAGAGGTGCTTGACGAGGATGATGCTCCTGGAGCCGGTTTGGTCTTCTTCCCGTTCACAGGTGACTGCTGTTGCTCCTCCTCGCACCGATTTTTCCGCTTGGTTCCGGAGTCGGGTCGAGGGGGCACGAACGGTGTCGGTGACGAGGCGGGCGGGCCTCTTCGCCCACTGCTGGTTTTGTTGTTTCCATTGTTATTCGTTGAACTATTACTTCGTAGTTTACTGTGGACTGAAGATCGCGTCTCGGTGAAATTGCTTAAATCATTGCCAGAATTGGAGTTGCTCGAACCTCTACCCCGTTTGCCCCTTCCTTTCGGCGTGCGGGCGTCAAGATCACTAGTCGGAGAATCACAGAATCTGAAAACAAAGAAAAAAGATGCTTGAGAAACAGGCACAAAAATAAGATACCTATTCCAAAGCCCTAAGCAAACTTTAAGCAGCAAAAAATGTAAAATGTGTCCAAACACTTGGATGGCATTTTGCAAAAAGGAACGAAGAGAATTCCAATGTTGCTACGATTGTGCAACTTACATTCTTTGCGAAAAAAATTACTGGAATAGTGCAAAAAATTTTATTGACCGAAGTAATTTTCGGGTAAAAAGAGTTGCAAAATCTTGGCGACATTGAAATGCTCTTGGTTCCTTTTTGCAAAATGCAATCTACTTGTGACTCGTTTTGCAACTTCCATACAGACATTTTTTTATCAAAGATTTGTTCTGATTGTTATTTATAAAAAGTGTAGTATTTTTATGCGGAATCAGTCGGTGTTTATTTTAGCATGGATTTTTTACCATTCGCTTGCGTGGTAAAAAATACATGCTTAAAAAAACCACTGGCTGGTTCCTAGTAAAAATACTGCATTTTTAAATTTATATGTATCTCCAAATACATTCGAGGAAAGAAAAACTGTCCAATGTTGTTGGAAACAATTTTCAATGGAAAATTTATTAGAAATATTAAACGTATTTAGATAATGACGAAATTTCAAGATGTGTCCTTAAGGATTTTATCCTTCTTTTGACGATTAATTTATCAGAAACTTCCAAAAATATCATCCTTTTTCTCAAAAATTGAAAAAGAAACTTTGGAAAATTTTATTTTGCTATTAGTAAATATTCGTTGTAGGTAAGACGAGAGTACAGCGCATTCAAAATGATTTAAGAACTTTCAAAACAGTAGATGAATGAAGTCGGAAATGCGTAACTACGATAAAGATAGTACTCGTCTCCTCTTACGTTTCATTTCTTCAAAAGAGAACCAACAGAAGGTTTTTCTTGAAATTCTCTGTGAATATCCTACTCTCATTCAATAGTATCCAAAGAAACATTTTAAGGTATTTTTTAGTAAGTTTACATTGACAAATAATATATAATCAGAGATTTTTAAACATTACAATGGCGACGCGTATTTTTTGACGTCAGCCATCGATATTCATTCATATTATTGAAAATTATGATAACTTTTTCGACAAAATAAAAGAAAATTCTACTGAAAAATCAGGTGACTTGAAAAACTTTGCGGAAAACACTCCAAAATAATGGAGATGTCCATTAATTACTAAATCAGTGTGTCGCTATTTTGCTTGCTGTTATTTTTATTCAAAAGAATAGGTAATTAGGTATTCTAGAGACTTAAGATGGTAAGTCTAACGTACCTGGGCGGTGCCCAATCGTGTCTAGTACAATCTAATAGAGTTCCAACATAGGTTTTTCCTCGCCACGTTACATTCACGACCAGAACACCTGTAAACAGAGGAAATCGATCAGAAAATGACATGCTATAAAATTGTGAGGATGGATACATTAAAAAAAAAAAAAAAAAAAAAAAAAAAAAAAAAACGCCACTTACAGTAATATTTTCCCATTTTGATGCCAAAAATAGAGTTTTCAATTCGCAATTTAAAAAATAAAGTCTCGTATTTGTCATCTCAATATAGGCTACCTTTCCTCTAGCTTTAAATGGAACATTGATTTTAAACCTGTCGCAGGCAATTGACGATCACCGGCGATTTGTAAGCCACAAATGGACAGATTTAAAAAAAAATAAAAAAAAAAGGCATTTCTTCCTCTGTAAAATCATGGTAGAGGCAGGCACACTTAGGAGGAAGTTTAGTGAAAACCATGGTTCTTGTTGAGTTCGGATCGGATAGGCAACTAAACTAACTCTGTGGCAAAGCGTAGAGTATCGCAAAAAATGAAGGCGCTCCAAGCCGAGATCATGCCATAGAAGGAGTTTACCTGCCAAATCTTAATCATGCCGATGCGCATAACTGCGATTTATCGAAGAAACTTCTGCATCTGCGTAGCTTGCTAACTGCTTGCGACATACCTATTACCTATCCATTTGATAAATTCTGGTTTTTAAGCGGCACTGTTCATTCAATGATCCGTTACTTGCAAGGTCTCCACGATTTCTTTATCACTAAATTCCTGACTTAAGTCGTTTTTCCAGCTCCAGAGGTTCCCAATCCCTAGGCTTTACCCGAGTTTTTCCAGACTTTATTTCACCACTTGGGTTTATTTTTCAAGTATGCTGACTTTTGCTGAACTAGACGAAATTTTTCGGTCCAGAGATTCAAATTAAGGAAAAAGGCACGTGGAGGTTGTTCGCACTCTCTCGAATGGCATTGATAGGGGACAGGCACTCCTCACATCACCACTTCTCTGACGGAAGGGCGCCACTATTTTTTGAGACGAGCCTTTCCGTCCCAATAACTCCACGCTTTTCGCGGCTCACGTGGGCGCAAAGTTTAGCCTCCGCGTCAGAGAGCGACGGTATCTTGACGCCCTACCTCACCGCCCCTTTCGCCCTCTTCTGAGGGCGATTAATTAATAATTAATTCCATAACTTTCAAACTCAACCGGGAGGAAAGCTAGAGGATACTTTGGCGCAGGACGCTACCCTTCTCTTACGAGGGGTGATTTATTATCCATGAATGCGGACTTAATTTGAGGAAAGTCCCTCTGCTGATGACCCCAATTTGGAAGGAGTGGGGGTGTTCAAAAATGTATTATTCGCGTTATTTGAGCGGCTTATTTTAAGATGGGCGTAACCACAAAAAGTGTAGTTTCGAAAGAAGACGTGAAATTTGATTTTTTCGACGATGTTTCATGTTTTTGTTGCAGCTCACATTGCCTACCAGCTTATTAAAGGCGAACTAGTGATAATGAGCGCGGAATTAAGTTTAGTGGACAAATTAGGTCAAAAGCGGATCCAGCAATTTGGCAACACCGGGTTTCTTACATTTAAACCTATGTTAAATTATCGATTCTTGTCGGAGCACCTATACCCCCGGAAAGAATCGATACATTTCCATAGGTTTAAATGGAGAGAAGCAATGTTGCCGATTAGCTGGATCCGCCAATGAATGAGGTCGTTACTGGACTGGAACTGAAACTGAAACTGACGAATATCTCACACTGATGTAAGCAACTATTAATGCTCCTGAGCTGCTCGAATTGCCTATCAGCTTATTGAAGGCGAACTGGTAAGAACGAGCGTGGAACATCGTGAATGGATTAATTAAGCCACCACTGGACTAGAACTGCAACTGATGATTTGCTGAGACTGACGCAAGCAACTATTAATGCTCTTGAGCCGCTCAAATTGCCTACCAGCTTATTGAAGGCGAACTGGTAAAAAGGAGTGCAACGTTCCGTACTGGGAAACTAGAACTGAAACGGATGGAATACTTCAAGTGTTTCGAGCAAATTTGCTAGGAAAGAACGCCATTTCTTACAATAAAACACATATCGACAGTGAAATTACCAAATTGTTACTTGCTGTATTTAAAAATCTCCGCTTACATCTATTGATTTAAGGAAGAACAAATCAAAATCATTCTTTGAAGTTTACGCAGAGTTTTCCTCGCTTAGAGAGGAAGACATGTGGAAGTTTTCATGTATTGATGTTGAGTTGTTTTTAATTTCAAAAATAAAGTATGACAAAAAGTCTGCAACGTCTCAAACCGAGATACGTGGTTTGGTAGTTTTACAGTCAATATCCAATTGTTCAAAAGGAGACGTTTGAAGAGCAATTTTGAGGACGAATAGCTAGGTAGTAAGATTCTTTCACCCTTAAATAATAGTGTTCTAACGAAAACTCAATTTCTGGAACTTATCTACATTTTTTTAAAAAATTACAATGAACTATAATTGGACGGAGTTAAACAGAAAGGAACCAAGCCACGTCGGGATCGAACCGAGAAAAAGAGGTTTAAAGTTTGGCTCCTGCATAAGACTCAATGTAAACGATAAACTTCAAGTTCAATTTCTGCAAAATGTGCTCCAACAAAAACTTTGAATTTTTGACGATAGATAGTAGAGCAGTGGTTGAGTTCAAAACCACTCATAATTCAATTTTTTCCAAAATGTGGGTTGATTCCTTTCTGCTTAACTCAGTCCAATTAGCAGATGATCTAAAAACACTTAAGACAGGTGCCGTCGACGGAGAATATCCGCCAACATGATTCACTGTGATATTTGTTCATCAATAAAAGTAGAAAAAAAAGAAGAAAAAAAGAAGAAAAAAAGCCTGCCATATTAGAGGAAGTTAAAAAACAATCGAAAAATCTGATTCTTCGATCACGTTTTCCTCCTTTCTTCTCTACTTCGCTTCGAAATGATAAACATTCGATTCCAAAAGCAGATAATTACAAACTAGGACAGCAGCAGAAACAGGGCAAGGGTTGGTGGAACAATTCAGCAGTCTCCTTGCCAATACCGCGAGAGCGAAGCTTGGCTCGAAAAACGAAATACGAAGACGTAGGAGGATAAAGAGCTGAAAAAAAGAGAAAAACCACAAGGAGGAGGATAATTACCTTCAGTCTCGTGCCAAACGATGCCTTCCAAATTTACACTGGTGCCGGGCTCGCAAGGTCCTAGGCAATCTGGTTCGGTAATGGTGCCCACACTTGTACCCACGCAGACATCCAACATATCCTGTCGACAAAATGATCGGATCGCATTAGTTTTCATGCTACGACGCTAGCGGAGGAAACATAAAAAACCCAAAAAAACCAGACGCAGTGGTAAAAAACGCGATAACCCCGATTCTTTCATGTCTGTGCTTCAAGGAGGAATAGGGGTGGTAGAAAGGGGGCGTCGAGGGAGGCTTTGGAAGTTTAAAAGGGGCTGAACTCCCCGACTGACCAAAGATGATTTATTTCCGTGATTTGAAGATATTTTCAAATTCTCTACCGCCCCTAAGGAAAGATCGCTAAAGTTTTGGTAAAATCACTGGTCTAAAGGTACGATTGATTCGTAAAGCCACTAGAGGGAAAAAATTCTTAGATTTACAAGAAATTAACTGGACAGGGTGCTGACAATGAGGGCGATAAAAATCGGAGAAAATCTAATGGTTTTTTTTTTTTTTTTTTTTTGTCTGTTGAGGCTTTCATATCTTTGAAAAAACCAGAGGCATGTTTTTTTCTCTATTTCAAGAGTGGCGTGCATAAAAAAGAACATTCTACGATAAGTCGGAACAATTATAAGAAAACACAGCAGCAATCAGCAGTAGTAAAATTAAATGGCAAATAGTGAGTCGATAATCGCGGAAAAGAAGAGATAGGGGTTAAGTCCCAACTTGGACATTTCCAATTAATTAGTGCCCCAATAAATTAGGTTACTGAACCAAATGTTACCCCTACTTACTTCGGCACCACCGCAATTAATTGAAAATGTTCACATCATCCAAAAAATTAGAGTAACCACAATTTTAGGGGATAACCCCTAACACTACTTTTTCCAGTGATATAATATTTTTCCGATCAAAAATTTGACCGTAAGCAATTTTCGGAGTGACGCCTAAAGCTTTGAGGGGCTCAAACATTTAATTACTCGTGTACTTATTCTTGGAGAACGTTTTCGTTCATTCATTCGTTTTCTTCTTCGCTGAAGATTCCAAAAATCCCTCTTGCTCCGTCGGAGCCCCACCGCGCGACGCGACGCGGGAATGGGGTAGGTCGGCGATAGACGAGATGCCATGATTTTAAGGTCGGCTGTAGCGTGTCGGGTGGCCGGGGGTAGGAGGGGAGTTAAATAATCGGCGGGGGATGAAGCGGCGTCTGGATGGGACCGAGAGGGGGCGGGGGGGGGGTNNGGCGGGGGAGGAATTCCAAAACGGCAGGAGCTCGGGCCGGCGGAGATAGGAGGGTTTCGCAGATCAATACTGCCGAGTTCACTGTTTGTTATGAACTTAACCCCCAAGAACTGTGAACACGGGTTCTATTGCCCCCTCCTGCCCCCCTCATCATCTCCAACCCCCAGCCGGTTGCCGGATGGACGCCCTGTCGAGGGGATCCTGGTCCCTTCACTTTCGCGCTTTTTCCCGTGATACGTCAGACGGATATACTGCCGTGCTGAGGAAAAAGCCGTATGAACATTCGAGAGTTGCCAAATTGCCTCGGATAAAACGTATATTTTTTACTAAATGGAGATGTTGCATGTGTGAGGATTTGCAATTTGACTACTGATTCTTATGTAAAAGTTCGCGAGAAACACAATGGTTTCCTCTGAAATCAACTCCCAAGCTCAAAAAAAAACTCTCAAGTTGAGGCCAAAATGGAGGGGATATCCCACGCTATCCTGAGAGTCCACCTCTACATCAAGACAAACTCTCCATGCAAAGATAGGGAGCAAATACATTGACAGGGATGCCGTGTTTTCAGTTGTATAGTCCCCAAATAAAGTGGCAGCTCTGTCAATGCATTTCCTCCCTGCCTTTGCACGGAGAGTTCATCTTGATGAAGACGTGGACTCTCAGGAAAGCGTGGGATATCCCCTCCATTTTGGCCTCAACTTGAGAGCTTTTTTTGGAGCTTGGGAGATGATTTCAGAGAAAACCAGTGGCACCATTGTGTTTCTCGCAAACTTTTACATGATCAGAAGAATCAGTAGTCAAAGTGCGAATTCCTCACACACGCAACATCTCCATTGCGAACGAAATTGTCCGAAAACTTGATGGATAATATTCAAAATACTCCCGGTAAATGCGTTCCTCATTGAAGGAAATTAAGCAAGGTCTGAAGGTTCACGGGAGGTTTTTCCTTAGCACGGCAGAATGACATCCACGTTGTTTCAAAAATAATCTCAAAATATGAGTTCCTAACTACAAAATTTGTAGTCAAATTCAACGTAGCGTTGCCGCTTTGGCAGCTCCCTATTCCAAACTCCCTGCTTCCCCCTGCAACGCGACCCATCATGGAGATTGGCTCAACGCGTCAGGAGCCCGCGCGATTATGACGTGACGTGCCGCTGGCGTCAGCCGACGGAACACCGTGGGCTACGACCCACGAAAATTCCAGCGCGCCGTTTCAACCGATCCACGTTAAAACCTCACAAGCAGATATACTCCTGACATCCGAATACCGTAAGAATCTCCGTATTCTGGAGCTCAAAATAACAATCGTGTTTGGTTCCAACATCGACGGTTTCAAATTGCACACTTATATCGTGAAAGCGTTTGGGGAATCGCTTCCAAATGGACGCATTTATGCTGAAAGGAACTATGTGCGTAGGGTTTACATTTGACATAGTCCCTTTCAGCATGAAGACGTCCAAATCGTTTGTATCGTCCCACTCACGGCAAGCCGTACTCCATGAATAACCAATCGGCTTTATTTTCGTTTTAAAGTTTTAGAGCGGCATTCCGAAAGAAGTTATGGTTCCTCCCGGTGTATTTTCCAATTTGTAAGACGACGACACTGTTAACCTCCATTTAAATGCATTGAAAATATCGATTAAGGTCACACGAGATGTCTCGCCAATTCGATTGTTAGGTAAAACAAGCTTAGATAAAACACATTCCGACATTTAGTTTTGTTTTTTAAGATTGTAAAACAATTTGAAGTTTATCGATTCAATTTTCAATACTCGAAGACCGCAACAGATCTGCCAACAAGGGATCAGTGTTGGTTAAGCGTGCGTGCTTGAAGGGATGCTATGCCGAGGGATTAATCGCGAATCTGTTTTGGGATGCTCGAGAAAAGTTGAAAGCTCCTCGTCTGAGCGCGCAAATCATCAGAAAGTCAAACTTTAAACAAACTTTCAATCGAAATTAAAGTCAATCTCAAGAGCCCTTCTCGCGCAAACAAACAAATCGAATATTTCGGGGCAACTATCTCTCTCCTTTACCCAAACATTTTGCTTCTTTCCTTCTTTTTTGAGGACAACTGAACGAAAATCAAGAGAGGGAGCTAACTCATTCATTGAATCTTAAATAAATAAGGGACTCCTCGAAAAAGGGTCTTATACCCTTCGAGAAAAACACTCCCGAAAGTGCATCGAATTAAGAACAACTCAAAGTTCAACTGCTCTGAACTTTTTCGTGTTTCGATCTGAAAGATTGATGTGGATGGGTTAAATCTATTTTCAGACGAAAGCACGTAACTACATTTGAACGTTGCTCAATAAAATTGTTTTGGTTCATTTCATTCTTATGGATGAAGATTTTGATTCAACATAAAGTGAGTTTCAAAAGTAACTACTTCCCTTAAAAAAATCATAATTTCCCCCCTTTTTTTGAGTTGGACTCGTGATACCTATCCGATAAATGTTCCAGAAATGAAGGAGTTTCAAATGCCAATTGAAATTAATTGCGGGCATTGGTTCAAGTTGGATTGATCTTTACCAGTCGGAAATTTTTTGGACAGTTGCTCGTTTTTAGCATCCTAGTGCGGAAGGGTTGGATGGAATGACTCCTCTTACTATATTTGTTCACCTCAGCACTTCAGGATTGCCACAGAATTTAGAAAATGATATTCCCTGCCATTTCCCCAATTTCCCTGACACATTTTGGTGCAATTTCCTGAAAATTGAAGATATGCTAGATGGTAAAAAAACATAATTAGAAATAGTTTTCAGGCTTTTGTCGTTCGAAACGCCAAACTCATTCCAAAAAGCAATTGAAGGTGACTTCATGACTTTTCTCTGACATTTTCCGGTTTTCCCAGTATTCCCTGACTGTGGCAACCCTGCGAAGTATCGATTTGGAAGCGCGAAGCTTAAAAAACGCAAAGTTCTTGGGCAGATTGTGAAGTTAGGAATGTACCTCACACCTCACTGGAAAAAAAACACATTGGATCTAGGGTCCAGATTCTTAAAAACATCGACAAGAAAAAATACTCTTGATTCAATCGGATTTTTTCTTAAATCAAGAACCAAGCCTCTTAATTTGAGCGGATTTCCTTTTGATTTAAGCAAAAATCTGATAGAATCAAGAGTATTTTTTCTTACCAATGTTTTCAAGAGTCTGGACTCAAGATCCAATGTGTTTTTTTTTTCCAGTGCTCCCCGATATGCTCATCGTGATTATTGGGACATTTTCTATAATAAACAACTCTTCGTTCTGCTCTAGATGAAGTTTGCGATTGGCCCATTGACTGAAGCGCGGCAGGATCACACAGAAATGACCTCTCAAAGAAAAGCGCGAAAAAGGGGGTCGGCGCGCACCTCGCGGACGGCGGCGCCGCCCGTTTTTCTCGCCGTTTCGCGTTGCAAAGGCGCCGTTAATTTAAAGGCCACCTGGGAGGACGGAACGCGTCCTTCGCTTCGCGGGCGGGAAATTACATTACGGTCTACTGCCCGGTTTTTTTTATTCCCCGGTCCCAACAACCTCTCCACTGTTGGCGCCCAACGCGGCTACGTATTTACGGTTTACTGTCTTATTTCCCTCGGGGATTTTTACGGTCCGGCTCCGCGCGGACACCGCCCGCGGGGATGGAAGATGAGCAAGAGCGGGGGGAGGGGGTGTCAACCCCTAAACTCGATGCTTTTCGTCGCCAGATCGCCCGAGGCTCCGTAAGTTCGGGAGGTCAAAGGATGTTGCCGCGTTATTCAGATTATGCCAACGGCGAAGCGCGAATGATCGATTATCGATATTTACACATTTACAGCTGTAGTAAACAATCGATTACTCGTCGTTTTTCGAGGGGACGTAACTC